TGTATCATATGATCTCACTGATATGAGGAATTCTTAATCTCAGGAAACAAACTGAGGGTTGCTGGAGTGGTGGGGGGTGGGAGGTATGGGGTGGCTGGGTGATAAACATTGGGGAGGGTATGTGCTATGGTGAGTGCTGTGAATTGTGCAAGACTGTTGAATCACGGACCTGTACCTCTGAAACAAATAATACATTATATGTTATAAAAAAAAGAAGAAGATAGCAGGAGGGGAAGAATGAAGGCGGGGAAATCAGAGGGGAAACCGAACCATGAGAGACTATGGACTCTGAAAAACAAACTGAGGGTTCTAGAGGGGAGGGGGGTGGAAGGATGGGTTAGCCTGGTGGTGGGTATTAAAGAGGGCACGTACTGAATGGAGCACTGGGTGTTATACGCAAACAATGAATCATGGGACACTACATCAAAAACTAATGATGTAATGTATGGTGATTAACATTACATAATAAAAAAAAAGAGAGACAGAGAAACCAGGAAAAAAAAAAAGACTGTCTTGCTTTCCGTGAGTCCCTCGGTCCGTTTCCTTTCTTTCCTTCATTTCCCCTTTGAAAAACAAGTTCTCACCATATATGGGAAAGTGTGATGGCAAATCAAATACAGACTATGAATATGAAGTAAGCCAAATTTTAGTAAGTGTATCGAGGCCATAAATTTGATGCAATACATAGGGATCAAATATTCTTCTTGTGGACACATCTAAGAAAAGTGACAATCCTATTTATGGCTGAGTGGAAGGGAACATTTCACCTGCTGTCTGGCAGCTGTCCAACCAGTGTAGTTCCTATAACCAACAAACTGATCCCAATGAAAGCCAAGGTGACCCTGAAAAAGAAAAGAAAAGGTAATGCAAAAGTTAATCGCACAGTAAGGGGAAAAGGGAAATAACCTAAAAGTTCGTAAATAAGTTTTATCCTATCTACAATATAGAATATGGTGCTGCCATTAAAAGAATTGGGTAAATCTATAGATTCTGACATGGAAGAATGGTCCTGGGTACATTTTGAGAGAAAAAAAAAAGCAAAATAAATTTCAAAATAACACGTAGAGTGTGATACCATTTTCGAAATAATAGCATACAACTAGTTTATAGATGCACAGAGAAGGCCTGGAAATTTATTCACAAAACTATCAAACTCAATCTATGTAATCATCCAAGGGTTAAACAGGCTAGTGAAAAGAATAAATTAAAACACTTGCCCTTTTGCTTTTCTGAATTATTTTAATATTTTTAAATATACTCATATTAACTTCTTGTATATATAAGAAAAAAGGTTTATGTTGTATGAAGAACTTATGACAGGTTGAAAGTAATTATCTTTTTTTGTCCAGGATACACTGGTGGGCATAGTATGATTGTAACTATCTTCCAAAGGTCTAAAAATAACTTGTTTTCCTGTGGTTTTTTAATGACAGGGGGAGGTACGATTCAAATTTTTCTCAAAGGAATTTAAAATTTAGAGCAAATAGCAAGAAAGGCTCTTTCATAATAAGAACACCAAATTATAGCACCATGTAGAAACACTTTAATGCAAATCTGTTGTCCCTTTGTATGTCCATGGTAACTCAGAAGTTAGTAACAAGCTGACTGACAATACCTCTAATTCCACATAGACACTTTCCATTTTTGAAAGTGTCGAATCACTTCAAAAAGAAAATATTTTCAGAAATGTACGTAGAATTACACAAAAAGATGAAATTGAAATTTAAAATCTTTCAAAATAAATGGGGCTTCCTTATAAACACATTGTTAAGGTGTTAAGCCTCATTAAAGTCTTAAAAAAAAACACAACAAAAACCTTGTTAAAGTCTTGGTTTAAGACCATGTGACAGAGCAATCTGAAGGCCAGATTCAGTTTTCTTTCCATGCCATATTTTCATGCTAACCACTGAACAATAACTAAATCACTGTTTAAATCTCATCCACCAATTATGCAAAAGTTTTAAAACATTTTCCTACCTTGTCTTAATGAGAATCATTTGTTCCGAACACACTAAATCAGAAGGGGTTACATTTGAACATGTTTAACAATGGGTTCAAAACTATTGAAAGTTTTTATTTGCTAGATTAACAGGCCAAAAACTTCTGGTTTCCAGTTTAAGTGAGCCAACCTGAGACCTCTCATAGATATCACAAGTTTTCAGCCGCAATCTGTTTTTTTAGGAGTTTTACTGAGATAAAATTTACCTATCATACAATTTACCCATTTAAAGTAGTCAATGGTTTGGGGCATATTCACCGAGTTGTACAACCATCAACATAATCAATTTTAGCACGATCTGCTTTTTGAGTGTTCACTTTGTAGCAATGGCTCATCTTATAAAGCATTTACAGAGCAATTCTTTCACACTAAAGAGGATGGACTGAGAGTAGGAGTCTTAATTCTTCTATTGCCTTCTTCTTGGGTGCTTACATTACTGGATTATCCTACATCTGTGGTTTCTTTGCAAGAATCTATGTTACTTCTTTAGTTTGCGAGCGTTACGAGCACTAGTTTAATCTAAGTAGATAATAGAATCATAACACCATTTGCTGGCACCCACAACAGGTGAAAGCTAACCGACAAACGAGAGCATCTCAAATACTCGGTCTTGCAAAAATCCTCACTCTTCCCTCAGGTGGCCTTGGATACAGTGCCTGACTCATGGGCCAAGTGCAGGTGTTAAGAGCTAATCTATATAGTCAACTTTACTGAAGTTGCATTTTTTTTAAGAATAAAAACAGAATAAATGGAAGCTCTAATTATAAATGGCCTAGAAATGTCTAATAAATAAAAGCTCAAATATTTCCTTCATGCATATCGACGGACAGTCTTGCACATGTTCAGAGTACATGAACTCCCCCCCCCCAAGTTGGGGAACACTGGCTTAAGGTTCAAGCAAAAGTATATGTGAAACCCTGAATTTCATTTTGTTATCACAGCTAAAATGATTCCCAAAAGACATACCATGCCCCGACTAGCAAAGTGGCAACATGGGCAAAAAAAACAAAAAAACAAAAAAACACAGAAAGAGCTTAGAAATATGCCTTTGCCTATACTTAAGCAATCTCTTCATTTGTAATAAACCTAAATGAGGCAAGTATAGGCCACCCTAGGGATGGTCAAATGGTTTCAGGTCATGTGCCAATTTGAGGTGGCTAATTCAATTGCCTGGACAGTTCTATTGAGAGGGTGCCAAGGCTATGTCCAGGGAAGTGAAGCAAGACCATCAACAGCAATATTGTGGGTATACATGCCTCCTACCGGCCATCACCATGCTGGACACACCTTGGCCACCAGTGCTCCATCCCACTGCCCAGCGTCACCTCTGCTACTCTTATGTTCCCCACGGTGGCTCCAGTAAACTGCACTTGAAAGTACCTCCTCATCAGGCGGCATTCCAACTCAGAACCAGAAGGGGACACAGATGGCAAACTTTTTTTTTTTAATTAACGTATAATGTATTATTTGTTTCAGGGGTACAGGTCTGTGATTCATCGGTCTTAAACAATTCACAGCGATCACCATAGCACATACCCTCCCCAGTGTCCATCACCCAGCCACCCCATCCCTCCCACCCCCCTCCACTCCAGTAACCCTGTTTGTTTCCTGAGATTAAGAGTCTCTTATGGTTTGTCTCCCTCTCTGGTTTCATCTTGTTTCATTTTTCCCTCCCTTCCCCTATGATCCTCTGTCTTGTTTCTCAAATTCCTGATATCAGTGAGATCATATGATAATTGTCTTTCTCTGACTGACTTATTTCGCTTAGCATAATACCCTCTAGTTCCATCCACGTCATTGCAAATGGCAAGATTTCATTCTTTTTGATGGCTGCATAATATTCCATTGTAGATATATACCACCTCTTCTTTGTCCATTCATCTGTTGATGGACATCTAGGCTCTTTCCATTGTTTGGCTCCTGTGGACATTGCTACTACAAACATTGGGGTGCAGGTGCCCCTTCGGATCACAACATTTGTATCTTTGGGGTAAACACCCAGTAGTGCAATTGCTCGGTCGTAGGGTAGCTCTATTTTCAACTTTTTGAGGAACCTCCATACTGTTTTCCAGAGTGGCGAACTTTTAATAAGAAAAGTGAACCATGATGGAACTAGGTGGGACAAATTCCGTCTTCCAGATGGCTCTCTCTTGGGTGGTAGCCATTCTCAGTAATTTTTTTCTCTCCTGTGCAACTGTGAACTGCTACAGACCAGCAGGGAAAGGCAGTTACAGTTTGGTTGACACTCTGGTGAAGGCAAAACCGTAAATCCTCTCTTCTTTTTTCCAACTTCCCTTTTCCATCTATCCACAAATGATTTATGACTGAAAGAACAACATGGATCCAGACTGACATATATTCCATTCTGAATACACAACTTCACTGGGGGTAAAAAATGTGAAAGGAGAATAGATACTTGGTATGTTCCTGGGGAGGTCACACTGGGTAGTGTTTTGCAGGTAGGAAGGGGCAAAATTAGTGCCATAATACTCTCATGAGACCATTACATACATGATTTAAAAAGAAAGCTGAACCAAGGATACCATCAATTACTGGGCAGAAGACATACCTCAGGGGTAGTAGGACACAGTAGCGTACTAGGACGCCCAGCACCCACACCATGGTGAGTCGCAGACTGATGTACTGGAAATTTATATTGGTCCTTGTGAGGAGATTCCATGACACAAGCTCCTCTGAGGAGAACCTCTGGGTCACTTCATCTTCCACAATGGCTTCCAAGCCCTTCTTGGAGAAATAAAACACGTCAGACAGCTCAAAGTCCCTTCCTCGCAGACCAGAGAGCCCTTTTTCCATGGGTGATTCATCTCTTTGGATAATACCTTAAAAGAAAGCATCAGGACATGAGAAAATGCCATAGGACACAAGAACTGACCAATGGGGCAACTTTGTGCAGAAGACGGTTAAACAAATTTAATGGGTAACGTGAAGCAGATTTCAAAAATAAAAGACAAGCAACTGCAGTGGGAAAAGAGGTGGAATCAGTCTACATAAAATGACCTCTACCCAATGACTTTAATGCATTACAAAGAAATTTGGTCCTCAATAACCCTTTTCTTGTTGCATTGCCTCCTTACACACCATTAGGGAAAGAAGTTACAGAACAAACTCTCTGCAAGTATAGATCCAGACTGCGTAAAAACAAAACCTTCTGTTTTGCCATTTTGCTTGCTTTTGGCTTTATGGTTTTTATCAGGGGAAAAGGTATTTACCACAAATGGCAAAAGGCTGATTTTTTTAATATGTAAAAATGATTTAATAAGAAAATCAGTCTGAAGCTCATGAACTGAATTCATAGAAACATTAATAGTTAATAGACCAAAACCTCTTACTAGCAATCAAAGAAATGTGAATTAGACAAAGATTGGCCTATTTACATCATCAAATCAGCAACATTTTTATTTAATGATAAAGTTCAATGACACAGATAAGTATTTTCACATTCAATTTGTGTGAACGTGGAACTAGTAGCAAGTCTGTCAAAATCCCTTTGGCATGAAGAGGCTAAAAATAGGTTTGTTGATGATTCAATAATTCCAATTTTAGTAATCTATCATAAGAAAATCATCAGAAATGTAGGTAAGAATGTTCACTGTAGCATTTTCCATTATGATCGATCCAGACAAGATACAATGCATCTAATAAATACTGTAGTTAATAAATACCTTAATGTTAAGTGAAAAAAGGTAGGATCTAAAACTATAGTTTAACTTTATGAAATAGATATACATAGAAAAAATGTCAAGAGGCCACATTAAGTGGTCATCTGGGAAATACGATTAGATTTTCCTCTTTACGCTGTTATTGTTCTTCCCATAAAGAAAATAATTCAAGGAATTTTAAATAGCATAAATTTTGTAAATTGAAAAAAATGATCACTGCCACCCAGTTCTGACTACTAAAAAGAATCATAGATGAGAAGATCTTTAAATAAAGAGTGGTTATATACACAATGACATACTATCCAATCGTCCCTCTGGGGCGTGTCGCAAAGGAATTTACTTCCTCAATTAGAAAAGTCTTTCCTTTTGAGACGGAGATTAAGATATTAAATTCCCTGAAAGAAGATCCCCTTTGATTTTCTCACTTTCCAGTTTACTAGGAAATCAGCTGTGAGTGACAGTGCTGTATTACCTATCCCCTGGAGAACATGTATGTGCATCCATAGAAGGAGAGGTAATAATACATTTTTTTTTTTTTTGAAGGAATAGCAGCATAATGCCCTGGAGTAGAAAGTAAAGAGGACCTAGAGTCCAAAATCAGGTTCTGTTGAGGACAGCCACCAGCTCTAAGATTATGCGTAAGAGATAAGTCACCTAACTTGGTGTCCTCCTTTATAAAATAGGAGGTGGGAAAACTTTTAGTTTATTTACAGGGCTCAAGTTTCATGATTTTACTTTTGGGTTCTGGGGGTAGTTTTGTTTGTTGTTACCAACATGAAAATCTAATACCTTATCATCTTAAGAATTAGAGCAATAAAATAAGCTCTTGAATGATTAGATTATCTTTTTCTGTCATCAAGTCTAAGTGGTTTAACCTTTCCTCACCCTCTCTGAAAAGGATTTGATTCCTATTAGAGGATGAACCAAGACAGTGTCACTATTGAATTACCCTCTTGCTCTGTGGACAGCTGCAATACCTCAGAGCAAGTTACTCAATCCAATTACTGGCCAATATTCAGCAGCGCAAGAGTTTCGTTATTTAGCAATATATAGGGTTTTGTGGTTTTTTAAGTCTAAAAGGGGAGGGAAGAACAAATTACTCGGCAAATCTCAGAATGAAACACACTGGAGACAGCGGACAGCCCTTCTAAAAATAACCTTTTTCAGAGGGGTGAGAGATAAGAATGCAAGTTCAAGTTGCCTCATTATTTAACTAGGCCAGGAGAGAAGAGATCTGTAAACAGGGGCCAGCCCCCAGCCCCTGCCCACTTGATGTGCAATATTCTCTCTGCCCCCTGACCTACTTAATTCTGTGTAACTCAAATAAAATAGAACTCAATTTTATACTTTTGTTAAGCCTCTTCCAAAGGTATGTGGGTAACTTCAATGCCTCTAATTGACGAAGGATTAATTTCCAGAATATAATAAGACATACAAAAAAAAGTAAAAAAATATTTATATGGCAAACAATTCATAAAAAGAGTACGCCCCCCCTTAATGACTACACATTTTAAAAAGATGTTCAACTTCACTATCAGCAGAGAAACACAAACAAAAAACAACAATGAGGGGGCGCCTGGGTGGCTCGGTCGTTAAGCGGCTGCCTTCGGCTCAGGTCATGATCCCAGGGTCCTGGGATCCAGCCCCACATCAAGCCTCGCTTCAGGCTCCCTGCTCAGCGGGAAGCCTGCTTCTCCCTCTCCCACTCCCCCTGCTTGTGTTCCCTCTCCCGCTGTCTCTCTATCAAATAAATAAATAAAATCTTTAAAAAAAAAATGAGAGACTATTTCATACCCATAAAGACTGACAGAAATTTTAAATTGAGTCATATCAAGTGTTGGTGAAAATTTGGCCAATTGTAACGTAATTAGTATAACCATACTGGAAAAAAATTTGGTACCATCTAGTAAATGTAAAGATATTCATAGCTAGCGACCCAGCAATTCTACTTCCACGTATAGCTCAGGAAGATTTTTGTTCAATAATTTCAAATATACAGAAAAGTTGCAACGATAGTTCACTTTACCCAGATTCATGAATTGCCAACACTTTGTCACATTTGCTTTATTGTTCTATCCCTGGATGTATAAAATGATACTTTTTTCTGAACCACTTGAGAATAAATCACAGATCGTGCCCTTTGCCCCTAAATATTTCAGCACTTATTTCCTCAAGACACGAGGTTTTACTTATTTAATCACAATGAAATTGTCAAAATCAGGAAAGTGGACATTACTGCAAAACTAGCATTGATTGTATAGACCTTATTCAAATTTTGACAATGGTCCCAGTAATATCCTTCGTATCATTTTTTCCGGCCCAGGGTTCAACCAAGGATCTTACATTATACTTATATGTCATCTCTGTAGTCTCCTAATCATATGAAAAAGTTCCTCAGCTTTTCTTTGTTTTTTTAAGACACTGACATTTTAAACCAATAATATGTTGTGTGTTAATTAACTGAATTTAAATAATAAATAAATAAGGGAAAAAAGACATTGCCATTTTTTAAGAGTACAAACCATTTATTTTGTAAAATGTCTCTTTGGGTTAATCTGATGTCTCCTCATGATGAGATGCAAGTTGTACACTTTGGGCAGGAGTACTATATAAATGATGTGTCCTTCTCAGTACATCACATTGGGAACATGTGATCTGTTTGTCTCATGATTGATGACGTTTAACTTTGATCACTTGTTTGAGGTAGTTATTACTAGGTTTCTCCACTGTAAAGTTACTATTTTTCTCTTTTTGATTAGTAAGTGGAGAATTATTACCTATAAGTATCTATAAAGGAGAGATACTTTGAGACTACGGAAATATCCTGCTCCTCAAATTTTCACCCAGTGGTATTAGCAGCTTTGATGATTCTTGCCTGAATAAATTGGTACTATGTGTCTTTTTTTTTAAGACTTTTTTTATTATGTTATGTTAGTCACCATACAGTACATCATTAGTTTTTGATGTAGTGTTTCATGATTCATTGTTTGCATATAACACCCAGTGCTCCATGCAATACGTGCCCTCCTTAATAAGATTTTATTTACTCTTTTGAGAGACAGAGAGCACAGGAGCAGGTGGGGAGGGGCCGAGAGAGTGGAAGCAGCAGCTCCCCACTGAGCAGAGAGATCCCAGGACCCTGAGATCATGACCTGGGCAGAAGCCAGATGACTGACCCACTGAGCCACCCAGGCGCCTCACTATTTGTCTTTTAAAATGGTATTTTTCTCCATTCCACCTTAAAAAAGAGCCTTTCTGTTATACTCTAAAAATTCTTACATAATTGTGCAAAAGTAGACATGGCTTGCAATAGCAATCTAAAGGTACAATAGATAAATGGGTGTATAGCAATATATACAAATATCAAATTATTATGTTGTACACTTAAAACTAATATGTTGTAATTATACCTCAATAAAAATAAATAAAAAAACAAAAGGAAGCTCATATAAAAAAAGAGATGGACACATACACTGTATACTACACAAGAGCTAAAAGAAATTAACTGGAACATTTACCAACTTAGGTAATTTGCAAACATCAGCATGAACAAACAACTCAGGATGATTGATATGTGGAACGTGATGTTTTTATAGAGCCTGAATAATGCAAAACAATAAATATTATGTGTTGTTTAAGGATACATACAAGTATAGGGAGAGTATGAAAATATGCACAAAAATAATAAATATGAAAATCAGAGTAGTAGTTTCAGGGGTTGACAGGGTAATGGAATCAGGGAGCGATACACAGAAGATTTTAATTGTTTTTATAAAGTTTTATTTATTAAACTAAGTAGTGGCTACACATGTGTTATAACAAGAACAAAAAAAGTTACATGGAACTGACAACTGTTCCTAAAATGAAAATCTGTATTGTCAGAGAGCTGGTACCAGCTTAGAAGCTCTTTCATAAGGCACACAAAATCTGAAAACGGGTATTACTATAAAATTCGATGTCAAAAGAAGCACTACTGAATACATAATATTACTTCCTTCTCTAATTATACTGACTACTGAGGGTCAGACTTACTGATTCAACTTACCCTAGGCATACCTTCTGAGAGAAAAAAAATATTTAATTCTGTCAGCATATAGGGGACACTCACTATGTATCAGGCATCAAAGTACAGTTAGAAAGAAAAAGAGGCAATATTTCTT